AGCTTAATGAAAATTTAGTGAAAGTTCTGCTTTTGTTTTATAACAATGTTTTCATGGAAAAAAGTTTTTGTTTTTTAATTTATCGAAATATCTTCCCTTGCTAGTTTGTTGTCATTCCAATTTGATGCAAGCAAAACAGGACTCCTATAAACAAATATATTCCTTTTTTTTTTATATCAAAATTGAAATGTCAGACATTTTTTTTCCTTTTTAAGTCAACCAATTTTTTTTTTTTTTTTGCCAACATTTTATAGGTAATGTCATTCTGTGTTTATACTTAGAATTATTTTACAGCTAAAAACTGTTTTTTATGCTTCCATTAAACATACTGTATATTTGTAGTTTGTTTCAGAAAATTTAAAGGCAACTTATAATAAAACAGCCTATCATAATAGTTCAGATTGATGCTAAACTTTCTACACCTAAGAAGTCTTTATAATTTATCTCCAAATTGTTAATTAGTCTATTCAAAAACTTGCATATAAATCTAATAAAAGAATAAACCACTACCAATATATATGAAAACGTCTCCTGTAATGAGTTGTAGAATAGTATTCATAATTTGAACTGGATTCTGAAAACTACAAAATGGCCTACTCACACGATAGAATGGTATTGGAAAACTGTGTCAAAATAGACAAACTGACTTTCATCTGTATTGATCCTGTTAACCCAATTTTTTTCTCAGCCAATATCAAAACACAAGCAAGTCTGAATAATCCTTGCAAAAAATGTACACATATAGTTGGTAACCAGTGTCCTGCCAAAATGGTATTGTTGTTATAAGCATGGATGTTTGCAGCCTTGTAAATCTAGAGCAGCCACAGGTCATTTTATGTAATGTTATTAAATCCACAAGGATAGTACAATGTTTATAAATTGTCATGGAGTCCAAAACATAGATGAAAATGGTAGTCTAGATTCCAAAGATTTTTCAAATGATTCTGCTATCAATTGTCAACTTCTATATACAATGTAGATTAGTCATAGGTCATATATTCCAAAATTTGTAGTTGATATTAAAATAACAAGTGATTGAATAACAAATCTTCATTTGGTTACATAGTCTCTCACCAATCATTTTACAGGCAGTAGAATAAAAAGGAAACAAAAAACCTTTTGGTTTCAATTTGCAATAAAGAGCTGTCAATTCTTGCAATAATGGTATAAGCACTGGCATTATTTTAAGATGATTTTTCTTTTCTATTATAAACATTTATTTATAAAAACGATTCACTGCTATTCAACAGATCATTCTTGTATTTTTGTTTTTCTTCTCTGAAATATTATTGTGACTTAATAAGAATGAAAAAAATAAAGTGAATTCTAAAACATTTTAAGTTATTCTCTGTAAATGTGTTTTGGAGTTTGATGTCTACAAATTGCATTCTGTAATGTAACCTCAGTGTACTTTGATTTTCTTTATATTTTCACATTTATACATTTATTTATTGAAAAAGAAATCTATTTCTGGCATAAAACAAAATTAATTTAAAAATGGACATTCATTGATGAGAATATCAGACAAATAATTTGTACCCATTACTGTCAGCTTCAGTTTTTTTCTCAAACCACTTCTAAAATGAACACAGAAAAAGTTAAATTAATAAGTGATTTATAACACTAAATGAGGACACCTTAAAAAGCAGGGAACTTTTTAAAAGATCAATCTTTTTTCTAACAGTTTTAATTAAAATGTAATTGGTGATTGTTTTTTTTTTTTCTGAAGTTTATTTTCTGATGATTAAGCACCAAAAGAGTTGGCTGTTGTAGTTCAATGTACTGAATTTGCATCAGTGTTCATATGCAAATAGCAAAATTAGAGATTAATGGAAATTTATGTTTACAAAAAATAACAAAAAGTAAATAAATTCATTGGAAAGCTCTCTTGGTTTTGATAATACCATGGTGAATCTTTATGAAATTTATAAAATGATATTGTTATCTTTTTTATTTACATTAATAGAAGTGAAATTTATAAACTAGATTGATTTTACTATTTTTATTCATAAAGAGGTTATTTCCTTGTCAATAGTTTCTTTTTATCAAACACATAAATGATGTTATTGGTTTGAATTGAACATGAACTGAATGTAATCATAACAGGTTTTGAGGTCAAAAATGATTTAATAGAATTCAAGTTTCTAAGCATATTCTATCTCCAGATTTATTTTAATATTATGGTAAAAATTTCTATTTGAAAGAAGAAAGATGATTTAATGCAGTTATTCCCAAAGTAGTGGTACCCCCATCTCTTGGGGCAATAAGAAAAAAGTGGGCAACCAGTATGTAGTAGTGGTACATGTGAACCATAACACATAGCACCCATTGTACCCAAAGGGAATCTTGCCTTCACTTTACAGTGTATTCCATTTATATAGCAATTATCATGTGAAATACTTACTCATTTGATATGTAATACTAGTACCAAGAAAATCCAATCAAAGGTTGACCATGCATTTGAGTTTAGGTTTTGGTATTCAAAGGCGACAGCAACACAACATTTTGGGAAACACATATTTAAAGCATTGATTTCACTGGGTTAGATGAATCATTTAAGCTTACAATCTTTCAGTTAGAATATCCAAGTTCAACATTATTATGAGGTCTGGCATAAGATAATAATAATGTCACAGAAATAAAAAGTTAGAAATTCAAATACCAAGATAAATTAGATGCCAACTGAAATGGAAAATCTAAAGTAGAAAAGTTCATCTACGTATAAATGGTACAAATATAGTTGTATGATAATGTTTGTTAATAAAAATGCTAACCAAATCATTTGTGAGAAGTAAAGCTCAATGTTTATACAAGGGAAATTTAACTTTGCCCAAAATATTCTACTTGTAAACTATTAAAATCAAATAATATTGAATTAGCTTTAAATGGTAATTACTTAACAAGTGTTAGAAAATAATCTTCAGTGCCTGTCTTTTTATTTTTGTTTTTTAATGCATATTTGATATTCACTTTTGAAATTTGTCAACACAAAAAGAATTTATATTTTACAATATACAACTTTTATGAAAATTTACAAGAAAAGAAATTCTATTCAAACTGAAACTAGTTTTTGATTGACTAACTAATGGATATATTTAAACAAAAGATTCTTTGAATTATGATCAGTTTAAAAATTAACACTAGATTTAAAAAGAAATTTTGGAAAGGAGAAATTGCCTAAAAATGTTACACAATATTGTATTTATTTAATATTTTCTGCTGATATATATTTCTGCTCAACTTGAACCAAAAAGAGACACATCTCAAAGATGGATAGTTGGTGTTTTTTGTATGCCTTATAGAATATGGTAATTATTGGCACATAGAGAATGCTACCTAAATGTTTTGAGACTCTGAAATACATTTGTTCACTGAAAGTAGCGGATTTTTGGTGACCACTCTTTCTAAGCAGCGCTTTTGTGAGTCAATGTGTGAATCAGAAACTCAGAGGTCACTTTCTTAAATTACAAATCTCAGGTTGTGATTTTATTCGCATCTGAAATCAAAGCAGTGAATCTGCATTTAAAAAAATGTTAAAGAAATCCTTCAGTGATTATGTTATATTAGGAAGAAATTGAATAAACTTTGACCTTCGTGCCCGCAAAAAAAAGTCAAATGGACGGTTTTTGCCTTGACACTGCTATTATTTGAACTACCTTCACTCCTCCATAATGTTTATTGTTTTTAAAAGCAATGATTAGAATTTTAATAAGACCTAAACATCTGATACTTTTTTTTTGCAGGCACGAAGGTCCAAGTTTGCCAAATATTGTTTCAGCAACAAACAATATCTCCCGACAGAGTTGAGCATTCAGGGCAACAGATACCATAACAATAAAGTTTTATATGATACCGATAAGTTGTGTGATACTTTCTATGCAGGCTAGACAATCTATCCATGATGTTTTGATGATTGCATTTTGACACGCATTGTTACAAAACGGAGTTACAGCCCCAAAACGTCATTATTCTATCTGTCGAGATGAAAACAAATATGACCACCAAAATCATAATTGGTGATGAATCTGAAAGAAAACAACATTTGTCAGTCGTAATAATGGAAGTTACTAAAATCTCCGCAGCAGAAAAGTGTCATATTTGCAAAACCAAAACCCTTTTGATTGTTTTCTTTTTACACAAGTTATTCTCCAGAAGTAATTTGTTCTCTCTAATCAAACTATAAACGATATGTGAAACTTTGAAGAGAACCTATTTTAAATTAAAGAACTACACAGACAACTGGAAGGACAGCGTACATCAATCTTTGTTCAACGGTTCCTGGCTTCCAGAAACGTACTTCATTCCGAATCCACCGTCTTCTGATCTCACTTAGTTTAACAATTTCCCTGAAGCTGACATAAGAAGTACATAGAATCTTGGTCATTATTTCAAAGGAAACTTGATGTTGGGATATTTATTTTAATGTTCAAATTCTCCTAACTTATGCAGCACTTTGTAAATGGATGGATTTTCTTTTCTGCTTTATAAAAAATGGATGATTCCTGAAAAATGAACAAATTATGATGAGATTGAAAGCAAAATCTGTGATTTGGCTCGTGCTCATCAAATCTACAAACAAAAGCTATTATATTTTTATCTAAAAACTTGAAAATTTATCCATCAATTTTATGAAAGATGACATCATGGCATCAATATCATAATTATTACTCATCTTGTCAATTCCCAATTTTATCGCAAGAAAAATATATTTAATGCAATATAACGAAAGTCATTCATATAATATTATATCAGGGAGTTGACATATAACCCATACAAACATCAATTATTTTTCAACAGTCTAAAACTTTTTTACAAAAAAAAATATTTGTTTGATTTTAAAACAATTGTATAATTCTGGTAGGCCTTACTGTGAATATATTTTTGGCTTGATGCCGTTTTTTTTAATTATTTTTTTATTTCGAGGCCATTATGGCAACTGGCAGGCAATGGAAGAACTATGTTGACGGGAGACAAGAGCCAATGCTCTGCTGAAAACGTTCTTAACTAAGAGTGCCACTCCAATTGATGGGATTGTATCGTAGTAGTTCCCTTTCTCGTCTTTGTTGAGAGCATTTATCAGCCTGCAATTTCTTCCACTTTTCTTCCATGATCTGAAATAAAAAAAAATGGAAATCATTCATTCGGTAAAAATATTTTAAGAGGGTATGTTTTTTTCATTTAATAATGTAAGTGTTAATACGAAAATCAACTGAAATAAAGTTTAATTACCATGCTTATGGTTCCAATGCTTCCCACCATAGCAGGAAGTGCTGAGAATTAAGGTATAGGAATTAAATTCTATATATATTTTTCAACCATCAGTTTTTTTTGATAAACAACAAATACTGCCAAAATATTTACGGACGTAGACCAACCACGTGTTGTTTTTTAATCATTTACAAAGTAACAATAATAACTCCTTTTACCAATCCAGTAAATTTGGAAAAAAAAAAGATTTTCGGGAGCCAGTGTGAAATTATTTTCTGATTAATGAAAACCATGTATTCACAAAGTTCACACATTTATGTGAGATTAGATTTTGGATCTCCCTTACAGATATAAAATAGAAACATTGCTTCTCGGGGTTCAAAACAATTTCGGAGGTCCGTTTGATCTACAACTACGTACACAAGCATCCTCACACACACACGCGTGCGCACAATGGAAGAGATGAGCCAGCAGCCTCCGACTAAGCCCTTGTCTACAAACTCATAAATACATTAGGCTGACCGTCATAAAGTAAGTCTGTCCCCACATCTCATACCGACCTAAGAACACTTAATTAAAAAACTTCACTGCAAGGAAAATTGAACATTTTATTGTTATTGCTATTGTATATTTCTGAAAAGAATCTATAAATGATATTTCAAATGACATTCTGCTTCTACTTTTCCTTCAGAAAGTAATTTTTGTTTCATTTAAAAGATATCTTGTTAAAAGGTTTGAAATCCCGACACTCGGATAAAAATGAAAAAAACCTGAGTAGACGGATCCTAACAAAGCGGGGTATGTTTATAAGAGGTATAATCTCTGAATAGAGAAGCAATAATTATATTACATTGACACTTGAATGTTGTTCTGACGCCAATTAAATCAAATATAGAGACAATTCGAGAAGACTTTAAATACAATGATAACATTTAGTAAATCGATATTTATCAACGAGCAAATGTAATATGCAAATGAAGATGAATGGAAAATATACAAACATTAGGCAAAATTCTTTTTTTGTAGAAATAGTTCATTTTAATGAAAAACGGCAAGAATAAAAGCAAAGTCAAATATTTAAAGTTCATATTTTTAACAACGCGCAAGAATAATTAGGTGTATGTATATGTGCGTGTGAATAAACAAAAAAGGTTCTTACATGGAAAGAAATTCGAAGAGATTGATCTCTAATGGAGATCAATAGATGATCTCACCCCTGGATTCGTCAGCGAGAGAAGCAAACTTTTACTTCCTCCATCTTGTGGATTTAAATAGTAAAGTTTGACACACGTTATGGTTTACATACTAACTGGTTGTGATATCATGTTTCTAATGGGAATGTTACTTATGAGACAAGGATGATAATTAATTATTATTTTAAATGAATGAGACACATCATTTCCTTTTTGTACACCTGCTTTACAATGAGTTGTAAAATATGAAATGAAACTTCGAAAAACCGAAAATGACTCTCCACGCGACAAGTGAAGGTTTCTAACTTCACAATAATGGGGAAATCTAACAATAGAGCGGAGGCATTGGGGAAGTCAGAATGCCTCAGAGAAGAGGGAAAAGGATCAGTTTAAGGATAACAGTTTTAGATTTGGTAAAAAGATGAATTTGGTTAAGACTTTAATGTTTTGTCTAACATCATATTGCTGGAAATTATTTGATAATTTTAGATAAATAATGTGTTATAAATGCTAAGACTCAACAGCAATTTATTAAAATTTCCCTAAAAAAGTTATATTTTCCTTTAATCAAAAATCAGTTTTCTTTCGATTTGTAAAATCTGATGGAATCGGTGTATCTGAATCAGCATTGGGAAAAGAAGAGTATGGCTTGAACGCCACTCGCTTTTCCAACGCCAAAATTCACTTAACTCATTAAGCATGCAGATTAAGAAGGAGAAATTTTGTTTATATTCTTGTTGCTGACCTACAAGGTGCCGTGGACTGCGTTGTGAATTAAGAATTATGAGACGTCACCGTTAGCATAACATGCCAGATCCTGCCATTTAGATAGCGACCAAACAATGATCCACGTATAATGACATCAATTAGACGACAACTTGAAGACTTTGTTCTCTGCATGAATAGAAATGACGTCATTTAACCTGTCTACACCTGTTTGCATAGTATTACCCTTGTCTAAATTTGATCCAGATGTAACCTTCGATCTTTTTTCTCATTTGTTTGTTTTTTTTATTGTTTTTTTTTTGTTCTTATCAATCTATTATTAATTTATCATTCTTCTATGTGCACCAGTTGAGTTTATTATTTGTTAATATTCTTAGTTATCTGTCTGATGGAGGGATTTTACTTTCGTTACTCATGTACGAAACTTTATCCAGTCAAAGGCAAAAGGCAAGAATGGTAGCAAATATTCTCACAGTATTTCCATGGCGCAGCAGATACACGACACAACATACAAGTATACAACTATGACAAACAAATAGCAAATATAAAAAGCGGTTTGTGCTTTTTAAATGTTCTATTCTTTAAATCGAACTTGCATGCAAACATGCGTAAAATACAATCAAACACTGTACACAAGATCAACAAATATAAACGGAAAATCAATAAGACATGCTGTTAACAACTTTGTTTAAGGCATAACCAAGTAGTAGAGCATTGGGCACTAAATATAGAGTTTATAAATATTTTTAAACACTATAATTTGAAAATGAAATCATGAACGAGTTCTTTTCTTAAGCGATTTCAATTTGCAATTATCTAAAAGGCGAAATATTTCCATTATTCCATGAATTTTACCCTCACTTTTTTGTTGTTCTAATCACAACGTCTCGGTCGATATCAGCATCGGTTTTCGTCAAGTGTCTATTGCATCATTATGTCGGAGTTATCTCCTCCTCAGCTCCTTAACTCTTCCCTAGGGGTCTCTCTCTCTCTCAACTGGCTATAAATACTGGCTGACCCTTCGCCTCGATTTCTTTTTTCCCCAGGCCTTCAGCCTTACCACTTCGCAGATGTGAGCTCTCACAGATACAGCGTTTCCCAAATTCTGGGAACACGCTAAGAACAATACACGTACGTACGAACACTCACCACAACACACACACACACATAATATTCACCACACGCACTCATTGTAGCTGTCCATATGCTTGTAACCTTTTCTTAATACATATATTTGTTTGTATATAGTTATCGGTCTTGTTTGTTTTCTTTGTCTTCTTTGGACTTAATTAAAGTCCAATATTCTCATGTGGTTGGACCGGCTAGTAGGAAATTCAACCCACATGTGTTCTTCTACAATACATCACATCTTGACCCCACGGTCCGCTACATAATGGTGACCCCGACGTGATATGAACACGCAACCTTAGTTTAACCCAGTCTATTTTCCTCTTCAATGTAAAATCAAGTCAATTTCTGAATTCGAGATCTCATATTTATCTGAGAAAATTATAGCCTAAATTGAAAAAGAGCGAACAAAAGATTTGAGGCATCGAAGACCTTCATTAGAAATTTTATTTGAGTCTCTCATCCACGGGTTAACAACTATTCGCTTTATAATGAACTGAAACTACTACGGAAAGATAAACATGTTAGGATAGGATTAACAACTTTGTAGTCATTTACTCTAACATAAGTAATAGTCTCAAATTGGGTACACATTGTGCTAAAGTGGAACTCTAACAGACTTAAAGTATGAGAAACTGAACTATTTAAGATAATTTGCACCTGGTGTCACACCTAAAACAGCACTGATCAGATCAGATCAGTTTAATGTGTTTAATGTTGCTGGCCATCGATTCCTTGAAGCTGTCTTTTAGACTCCTAATTTTATACTTAGATTTGCTACTTTTAATCGTCCATCGTGATCGCAGATAAGAGTGAAACTGGAACTTTTTATTCAGATCTGTTTATTAACGCTGTCTATTCTTACACTTATTCTATTTCATTTTTGGAACCCTTTCTTTGTTGGATGAATGTGAACCCTGCCCGAGGCTGAATCATTCTGACATGAACTTCCACTCAATCAGGTTCACCGATTACGCTGACAACATTTTCATACTTTGATTCTCTTCCCATCATTATTTGACTTTACGATAATCTTTTTGTATGTCAGGGAATATGCTGCCTCCCTTATTCCAAAGGAAAAATAAGGATGAGAGCCCCCCCCACACACACACATACACCAACAAATGTAAGGGTCAGTTGACGGCCAAATGTTCATTAAAGACAAAAATAATGGCTACCTTTGCAAAGAGAAAACTTTTCCTGGGGTTGAGAAGAGTGTATTTAGCTGAAGAGGAAGCTTGCTACTTTTTCTTTTTTGGCAATAAAGCGACTAAAACATTACTGAATGTGAGAGAATCTGAGAAAAAGAAGGCATTATTAAGGAGCGATAACAATAAGAGAAAAGGAATTAAGGAAAGAGAAGATGGAAGAAGAATTAAGGAATAAATCAAGTAAAGAAAAATGTTGATCAGAATTATTAGGGAAACAAATAGGGAATTCTACTATTTGACTGAGAGACTGAGCAACGGAAAAATTGAAAGTCTGAATACCGGCAACATCAGTAATATTAAGTCAGTATGATTAAACCACTTGACATGATAAGCTTTTTAAAGCCCCAAACTCAAAAATGTTCGCAGATGAATTGAGGAAGTGAGTGAGTGAGTGAGAGAGAGAGAGAGAGAGAGAGAGAGAGAGAGAGAGAGAGAGAGAGAGAGAGAGATCGGGTGTAACAGCAAAATTGTCCAAATCGTATAACAGCAAAATTTGTCCAATTGTTAGATTAAGTTTAAACCGTTGTATAATTACTGTCCAAGCTTAACAGAAGAATCGTGATAAAATCGATCATAAACGAAAATGACATGTTCATCATTACTTAATTATAGCTAAGGATCGGAAGTTCATGAAGTACTGAAATT